GAAAATTGTACTATATTCGATAATTTTAACGTTATCCATTACAAACCATTACTAAAACCTTTCAAATTGCATTAACTAATCAACTAATAATCGGGCAAATTCGAGTTACGCATATTAAATTAGTGAGAATTAATTGAAATTAAATACATTCTTCTCTGATTCTAATATTCTTTATCCAATTTTTTCTCAAAAATTCCGTTTAAATTTTGCAATGATATTATGAATATTATGATTAGATGTGCAAAGAAAACTATTCCCCACGGCAAAACTAAACAATATCGAGTGTTTTGGTCTGAACACCTTGAGAAATTGAAAAGAAAGCGGGACGCCCTTCGCAACACTGCTGATCAGACTGGAAGAACGGAAGACGTACAAGTCTGGAGGCGACAAGACGCCCTTCGCAAAACTGCTGATCAGACTGGAAGAACTCTGATCAGACTGGAAGAACGGAAGACGTACAAGTCTGGAGGCGACAATCAGCTGTCCTAAGGCAAGCCATCTTGCAAGCTAAACGCACTTCCTTCGAAAAGTTCATCTCAAATATCAACTATCAAACTTACTTCGACAAGTTCATCTCGAATATCAACTATCAAAGCGTTCGACAAGTTCATCTCAAATATCAAGTATCAAAGTGATACGAAAAGTTCATCTCAAATATCAACTATCAAAATGATAGCCAACGCACTTTCAAATTTCTGAGAGACCTGCAAAACAACAGAGAAAGACCCAAGAAAGAACCGCTAAACAACACAGAAAGACCCAAGAAAGAACCAATACGCTTACCAACAGAGAAAGACCCAAGAAAGAACCAATTTAAAACACAAACTGCTTACCACCGACTCCGAAATAGCTTATTACTTTGCGAGGTTCTATTCCCACAAGCAAAAGAAAAACCCCTTTGCGAGATTCTATTCCCACAAGCAAAAGAAAAACCCTACGAGGTTCTATTCCCACAAGCAAAAGAAAAACCCTTTTGTCAAAATCCACAAGCAAAAGAAAAACCCTTTTGTCAGAAAACCTTCAAGAGATTTTAAGATACAAGTAAGACCATTTGGTGAAATTAAGGAAGACACAACACCAAATAATGTACTTACTGAACCATTCAGACCTTGCGAACTTAATGCTGCGATAAAAGAGCTAAAGTGCTAAATCTCCTGGCAAAGATGGTATTTATCCGGAATTTCTAATTAGAACGGGACCAAAAGCCAAGAAAACCATTCTGGCGCTTTTCAACAAAATCTGGGAGACTATTCTCGTACCTAACCAATGGAAAGTTGCCATATTAATACCAGTACTAAAAAAGGGCAAAGACCCTAGCAACTTTGACACCTATAGACCTATCTCCCTCACAAGCGTTCTGGCTAAACTTATGGAAAGAATGGTTAACAGGAGGCTGACCTGATTCCTTGAGACCAACAACATTCTTAGGAGTGAATAAGAAGGTGTTAGGCCACAAAGATCAACTAACAAACAAGTAGCCACTTTCTTCCAACATATCATGGGTGCCCTTGTTACAAGAAATACTCTTACAGCTGTATTCGTCGATTTCAAATCAGCATATGACTTAGTATGGAAAGAGAAGCTAATTCTTAAATTGGAAAGGATTGGTGTTAAGCATAACATGTTAAACTGGATAAAAGCATTCATTGGGATTATGTAAAGTCATTGAATAAAAGCATTCATTGGACAAAGATCATGTAAAGTCAGATTGGAAATGCTCTATCAAAATCCAATCTTTTACAAACGGGCCTTCCACAGGGAGCTGTCACAAGCTGCACTCAATGCCTTCATCAATGCCATAGCCGAATTGGTACAGACAGTCACGGACATCGAGTGCTTACTTTATGCTGATGATCTTGTTCCATGGTATTCTTCTCCTAAGAAAAACGCTCAGGAGAGGTCTGAAAGTGCCCTAAATGGTACACTCAAACTACTAGCAAACCGGTGCGACAACAATGGAATGGTTATCAACACCGCAAAAACTGCATTCCAAACTTTTTCTTTGGTCCGCCACAGCATAAACCGGTTTCTAAGATACAAGGATACTACCATAGAAAAAAACAATGAATTCACATATCTCGGAATGACGGAGGTAACTCTCAAACCACTCGAGAAGGCACACAACCAAGCATTACGACTAATTACTGGAGGGATAAAATCAACACCCATTGATGCAATGCTCCTGGTTACAGGGTGAACCACAAAATGTTCCCTTATAAAAGAGAAGGCCTTGATCCTGTATGAGAAGCTACTGCGCATTCCCATGGACAAGTTCTTCAGCGCCTATGAGAATAGACCAAGACATCTGAAAACGCAATCTGGTCTAATACAGAAAGCCATAGAACTGAAGAAAGCATTACAAATTGATGACAAACCAAAAAGCCTCCCTCCCCCCATGAACCCATTGGCTGACACTGATGTAGAGTGTTGCACCCAACTGCTTGACTTCTTCAGGAAATCAAACACCCCTCCAGAGCAAATGCGCTCACTGGCCCTTGAGACAATCAATGTCAACCATCCTGGAGATCAATGGCTCCAAGTCTTCATTGATGAGTCTTACATAGTAAACCAAGCAAGCGTTGGTACATGTGTCTACTCTGAACTCTTCTTCTTCTACGCAGCAGCGGGACACAATAGATCCGCTTTCGATGGAGAAATAGAGGCTATTAGGATAGCACTATGCCAACTATGTTGTCTAGATTCGAAATCCGCCGAAGCAGTAATCCTTTCGTACTCACAGTGAGCAATAAACTCAATTGAATACAGAGAGTCACCCAAGACAGCTGATATAAACGAATATAGAAAACTCTATCAGCTGCTGAGTGAGAAAACAAAACAGTGGTTTAACAATGGATTCCTGATCTCTGTGGCATTGAATGTAATGAACTTGCCGACGCACTTGCTAAGAAGAGGACAACAATTTTGCAAGGCTTAGACCAGCCAATGTCTTTCCACACAATGAAGGCCTTAATCAGGAGAAAATTCCAGACCTCAAGGTCCAACGAACTTAAAGCTCAAACAAAGGAGAGACAGTGGACAGTGACACTCTCCGATATACCCGACTGGCCAAGAATCGAAGCCGTTGCTGAGTTTAGACTACATACAATGGATTCCTGATCTCTGTGGCATTGAATGTAATGAACTTGCCGACGCACTTGCTAAGAAGAGGACAACAATTTTGCAAGGCTTAGACCAGCCAATGTCTTTCCACACAATGAAGGCCTTAATCAGGAGAAAATTCCAGACCTCAAGGTCCAACGAACTTAAAGCTCAAACAAAGGAGAGACAGTGGACAGTGACACTCTCCGATATACCCGACTGGCCAAGAATCGAAGCCGTTGCTGAGTTTAGACTACATACCGAACACGAATGTCTGGCAAAACACCTTCACAGATTGGGTGTATACGCTCAACCCGCATGCCCTCTATGTAACCTACATGATGAAATGGAGAAGACGCATCTTATTCGGTGTCCAGCTCTAAAGACAAGGACGGAAAGCCAGAGATACTGGAAAGCAAGAAGACAGCTAATGAACTGCTATTAATTTACTGCTATATATGTACCTCCCACCCATGGGTGAAGCTGAAGTCAAAGTTGAAGGGATAATGATAAATATCATAAAACCTACCATTTTAAATAATGCCATGTGTGTGTCTGCAAAGTCGTACTACTTTCCATGCAACTAAGATGCAAAATTAATTCACTCCTCATCGAGTGTGGAAAGAAATGAAAATGTTTAATCCGTATATGAGTGACAGGGACATTTACTGGCCTGACTGGTTGTCTTTACAAGCTGAGTGGTAAGCAATTCTTGTATGCCTGCTCTGTGGATCTTCTGACCATTCTATGTGTAATTGCTTGAAAGTGTGCAAAAATTAATTTTATCACACACCATTGAATAGAGAGAGGTCATTAGGATTAAAACGGCTGTCGATGCTTCAATAGTTATTTCTGCTCATACTAAATTTATACCGGATTTCAGATTACAAATTGAAATTAAATTATAATAATTATCATCTGAAATGAATTCTAATTCAATTAAAATCAATAGGCTACCCATATCACTGTGAGAACTAATGGTTTGTGTGATAAAAGTGATCCAGTATTCCTCGCCAAGTCAATTCACAACATGCCCGGAAATTCTTTGTGTTATGAAATGCTAGCATTAGAATGCAAGATTCACATGATTTAACCGAATATTTAAAAGTTTTG